GTCTATGTGTTTTACTAACATGTTACAAATAGCAAGTCGAGTTGAACGTTTTCCTAATAGTAGGCTGAACACAGATTAAAAGCGTGGCAATTTGAAATCTGTTTAATATGCAGTTTTGCTACATATTTTTTCTGTATTTGACTCCATTAGATCCAAGATCTGGAGAAATTGTTATGCAAATCATATTTTAGATCATTAAACATTTCAACCAATCAAATGTTCGATTCGATACAAAATTTACAGAAATCATGTAAGGAATTCCTGTGATAACCATTGGCATAGGCCTTGTGCTAGCAATTAGCCTGATCTGAGCTTTATGGAAACTCCCGTTTTTGCCGAATGTTTAGTTGTGTTGTTATAATGTATATATACCACCCAAGACAACAGCGTTCTCAGCACGGTAACATATGCACAAGATACGGGTACTTCCGGTGAAACATATTGATGATCCAATCGTGTCCGACCTTCTAACCACAACATGTCAACATTTCATAGCCTGTTTAAAGTTCATGACATTCTAAAATATCTCTAGGAATAACAGGAAGTAGGATGTATAGGTAACAATATTGGTATTAAAATAGTACAACGATGTAGACTTTCGTTATAATGGGAATTCTAAATGTAAGAGGGTCCTTTACTTTATCTGATTTATTCTATCCTTTTTTTATCTCGCAATATTTTTTTTCTTGTTACGTGGTTTGGTGGTCGGATGGTTGGGATCATAATATCACCCTACTGACAATGATCCTTCAATTCCAACGCTGGTTAAAATTGGATTCTCTTCGCTTCCATCGGTCACATCACTTTAAAGTTCATTGTGAACGATTTTCAACTGAAAGGCTTTTGAGCTATATCTTCTAAGTTCATTGAAGACAAACCTGGCTTCGTAATTTTAAATGAAAAGTGATACTGATACGTCAACAAATATTGTATTGAATATTGTATTAGACAACAAATATTCTCAAAAATAAATCATTTCACATCGTCCAAAGCTTCATTATGAAGTTGGGCTACATTTCTGGAAGAGGCCCAATACATATAGTTGATAAGTGTTATTATATAAATAAGTCATTAGTGGGATTACATAGTATTATTGTATTATTACATACTTAAAAGCCCCATCGTTTAGTATCTGGCAACTAAAGGTGCTGGCACAAAATCTGGTACAAATGAATTCAATAATGTACAGAACGAGAATATTACTTAGGCTCATTCAATTTTCACAATTTAAAATATCTTGGAAGTGATTGTGAGAGCTAACTGGAAATCAGCTATAATAAAAAATACTTTTCCCATTGACCACAAATCTGTGAGTTTTAGTTGATATTGTAAAGTCATTTTAACCTACTAGTGAACGTGTAAGAAGAACATCACATAAAACCTTCTTTTAAAACGAAGGTAACCATACGTTATTAATTATTCTTTTATACTTAGATTTACTATTTTTGAATATACTCGATATCTTGCTCCCACAGCCAGTGAAAAACTCATTTTGAACAGTTTTATGTAAACGTTTTTTTTGAGAAGTAAAATGCACATTTTCTAACCAACTTATGCCCCAAAGTGTGATTATTTGCATATGATATTTACTATCCCAAAGTAGGGTATAGTGATAGTGGCATCAGATGAAATTGATGCTATTATAATGTTATAAATAACTTGAAGTCGTGTTCTGTATTAATCCTGTCTAGACAGTATTGTAATTGAACTATCAAACTATAAAATGATTGACAGGAACAATTATAAATTCTAGTTGCTCAATTTTACGTTGTTACATATCGACCAGTGTGCATGTTATGGAAGGGTAAATGTGTCAAAACTAATCACCATCTACCATCTCATTTTTCAATATCAAAAGATGTTCGATGCCATAAAATACCACAAATGCATGTTTCATTTAATTTCAGATATTATTTTAGCTAACACTGTTGAATAACCACTTACTGGAAATAGTCCAGACATTTTGTCAAATAAATTGCAAGAGAAAGTCTGCTCCTGTTTCTTACTTTGTTAAAAATAGTTCTATTTTCCACAGATTCTAGAAGATACCATAAATGCAGGTTACGTACAATGTCAGAAACTCGGAATTCAAAAGACAAAATCTGTTATCTAATACTATTGACCTACATAACAGAGTGCAGCATTGTTCCAGTGATCCAAAAATGTCGACATTTTTGCCTAGTGCTCTCAACAAGCTAATAACAAGAGAAAAACAATATTGCAATGGTGCTTGCCATTTTCATACATTTGCTCTATACAACTAGGCTAGTTCGATCCAAATCGAAGTCAGAATGAAATAAAATATAGACCCAAGTTCAAAAGATCAACATTCCCGCGTTAAATACAAAAATAACTCCAAAACTAAGCTACAAATAAACTCCAAAGCGAAAACCATGGAAGGCATCAAACTGACATTAGTGTTAAAACCTATATAGGGGTCTACGATATTATGGAATCCAGAAACTGTTTTTAAACATGCAGAATGTGCTCGGAACAATGGAAGTTTGTTTTGGTTTGAAATTGTATCAAAAGCATTAAAGATACATGATGCTATAGACTAAAATCTATAAAATGATGTTGGTTACTTCGATCAAAAAGAAAATTGCTTTTTCCTTACCGAAAAGACGTTTGAAGATAATGAGAAGGGCGTCTTAACTTAATTAAAGCTAAGATTACCCACTTGGCCTTTCGATTCCATAGTTCTTTTGTCAATTAAGTATTCAGCCAGTCTTTGAAGTTCAATACATCTTTAAGATATAACTGGCATGTTGTTTGCACGAACTAGTATCTCATTAATGCTTCGTCGTTTTTGTGTACTTTTATCACAGGGACTCGATTTATAGCTGTCTTTGTTACTGATCAAATTGATATAGTTTTACAAAGCAGGTTTCCGATGTCCATGCGGTATCCAAAAATTGATTATCAATGTACTGATATAAACTTTACTAGCAACCAATGTCCTGACGTTAACCAACTTGATAAAAAAAGTCCTGTCGGTAACCAACTTGATAACTAATGTCCTGTCAATGACCAACTTGATAACGGTTGTCCTGACGTTAACCAAATGGATGTCTTGGCCTTAAACAAATGGATAACCAATGTGTCGATCTGAACCAAAGTGAAAACCAATATCCAGATTTTAACCAATTGACACCAGTATCCTGGCTTTAAAGAAACTGATAACCAATTTCCACACTTTAACTAAACTGATACCAATGTCTTGACGCTAAGCAAATTAATAACCAATATGCCGATTTTCACCAAGCATAATAATATGTATATTTGCATGGGAAAATAACACAAGGTGTCTTCAACTATTGAGTTGAAAGGATCCTAAATATACATGCCCCTGTGGTGTTATTGTGATCATGTTCTATCAAATTCCTGGTTATGTTATCAAAACAAGCTATAAATTCTTTGAAGCGAATAATTCAAATGGTGATAAGTCATAATAAAAGGTTTTATCGGTCAGCAAATGACTATGCTTTATTCCCATTCATGAAATCTGAGCGCGTTTTATTACCTTAATTAATTACTGCATGCGTTCATTAGCAGTGACTGTTAACGTTGTCATTAATGTTTCGTACCGTTATGTCTTTTCATCCAATTGTCCTGTATTCGTTTGATTTTGATGATAATATGAAATGGCATTCAAGCAACGTCAGGAAGTGTACGATAAGAGAAAAGCTGTCGTTAATGTAGAAACACACGGAACCAAATCCGGTGACGACACCAGCCTACCTTGAATAGGGGTTTATAAAGTAGGGACTCAATAGGGGACTCAATGGGGGAGAGGGTGCAACTGTCGAGGTTGAGATTCAAAACCTTGAAAACGTGTGGAAGCGCATGATCATGACTCCAATGGAGCATCTGATAGGGTTCTCCTCAAACCAAATTTTATACATAGAATTCATTTGGTATCATATATTTGTTGCTAGAAATGAAGTAAGGGTAACCTACAAACCATTGTATCACATAACAGAAAGGGTGCAGGCCAGGTTGAAGAATCCGAAGGTACTATCAAGACACATACTTATGTATTACAAATTCCAGTTTACGTTGTTTAGCCTGTAGTTGACATAACAACACCCTTCATAACTTAACCATGTTTTGTAGCTACAGTGATGATAACTCACCCACAAAACCAAAACCAAAATATCTAAACATGAATCTCATTGGATAAGGATTTAATTTAACCAACTGACGTATAGTTTTCAAGAATTGATTTCAAATTCTATCTAAATGACACTGATTGGTGATGATTGGTTTAATCTGTCGGCACATTCAAAACCTTTCAGTCGGTGTTTGTTCGGAATTACTCGTAACCATGTGATCAAAATCTAACAATTTTGTGACAAAATCCTGAGTTAAAAAGAACCAAATTTTTATCAACGGTTGGGTTTCTAATTGTTTTCAAGTTTCTCAAAGATAAAGGTTAGGAAATTCTGTGTTCGTGAGATAAAAGAAAGAATGCATTCTTTGGTTTCTCGGCTGTGTGCGAGTCTTTTTAAGCAAGATTCCCTTAAAAGTCGCGATTAACTTAATAGAAATTATAAACCTTGGAACTTGGAAATAGACATAGTCTGGATCATCCAGAATTAAACTAAACACATGAGTAGTTATCGGGATATGAACTGCAACGGTGGGTTCGTTTTGCCGCATTGCCCAACATGCCGCATCGTGCCCAACTGCACAAAAAACGACTTGTTAAACGAAACTAAAGGTTTCTAATCCGGAATGGCCATTTGTTTCACATGAAACGAAATATTTTAATCTGTTTTATTTATAATTTGGACCTGTTAGGGAAATCGAAACTATAATCTTATGGTAATATCTGGAATAAAATGAATACCAAGTACAAACGATCAGAACCGTAATACAAAATACATAAATCCATAAAATGAAACAAGACAAGTTCAATAAATAAAATATTGGTCATAACTTGCAAGAGTTATGTCCTTCTACGTCTAGCCTATAACGTCACCCACGTGCTAGAAAAAATGGTAACTGAAATGTCTGAAAGTAAAAATCTTCTGAATAGTAAATCTGAATTATCAAGCGAGGAGAAGTTTGAAATTCTCGTATTCGATGTGCTCTATAATTCGGCAGTGGCTCAACCCCCACTGATTCCAGATAAGTCCCAGATTGTCCTGGTAGACAAGGTAGAAGCTGGGGTTGATTGGCTCCACACTTCCGTCGGCAGTTGGAGACAAAAATAGACGAACCTGCGATTGTTTAGAAAAAATGTTCAGATGGATCCACAGGAAAATAAGTATTGCTGAATCTAAAACCGTGATCGGTGAGGGTTATATTTTGAAAACTCAGTATTGTCATAGCGAAGAGTATGCCTCTGTAAAAAGGCACAGTACGAAAGTCTTGAAACTATAGTTTCGATTTCCCTAACAGGTCCGAATTATAACTAAAAAGAAAATCGATGCGGGACAACAGATTGAAATATTTCGTTTCATGTGAAACAAATGGCCATTCCGGATTTTATAAGAAAACTGTAGTTTCGTTTTACAAGTCGTTTTGTGCAGATGGGCACGATGCGGCAAGTTGGGCAATGCGGCAAAACGAACCCACCGAAACTGCAAAGCTACATGAGAAAACAAATTTTCCCTCATCCCCTCCACACACACATCCCTAATCATCATAAAAAAGCCACTAAAATTATAATGATAGGTTCCACTATTTGGATGATATATTACCACTAGAAGTAAGAAGTTAATTAAAATTCGTACAATTAGAAATAAGTCACGTACCTTATATGGATTTGGCCTATAACGTTCAATAAAAGTCGAAGTCCAGAAAATCAATGTTCACGAACAGAATACATCCAGGTTATAGCATCAATGGAATAAGACTAGATCTAACGACTTTCTTTCACCTGTAAATCCCACTGATTCTAGGAGAATATGAGATAAAATTGTTCATGAGATAATAATGTTATAACGTGGGTAGAAATTATAGCTATAGTTGTAATGGCACCACCCAAAATAACTATCTTAGACATGCAATAAGAATGTTAGCTACCGTACATCGCTAGAGCAAGTCAACTGACAGGCATATATATTAAAGAAGAAAAAGCACCTAATACATTTTGATTTATGTCAACCAAAACAATTTTTTTAATCTTGAATCAAAAATAAAACAAAGCAAAATTTAAAAAAATGAAGTAGGCCTTATATGGATTTGCAGCCACACTCACCATATAATTATGCGATCGGGAAATAATTAGGGGTAATAGAATGTGAGACTTTGTCTTGAGAATAGAATTCTTACTATTCAAAGGGATAATTACTATAAAAGTCGAAATGGCATCTTCATGTCCAATTTGCCAAATGACCGATTTGACGTGAGGCGATGTGACTGACTATTTCATAGTGCGCTTGCGCGATAAATGTAAATAATGGCGTTTCCGGTTGCTGTCGGCGGCAGAGAAGCGAAAATGAAAAATTGAAAAAAATAAAGAATGCATTTGTCCATTTTAGGAACATGGTTCTAGAATTGGATGAGTGGTAGTAAACACTAGGAATGGTATGATAAGAATTGTTAAATGTTCAACAGACACTAAGTTCTGATGTTTTCGGGAATAAAAGCTTGAAGATAAAAAAGAAAGGTGGGGGGGGACTTTGTTGTTTTTACATAGTGCTATATTATCTTGGTCCATTCGTACGTATGGTACAGTTGTTAGGTATGATAGTATATATATATATGATACTCTGCATGTTATATGGGTCATAATTAGTCCACATTGTTTGTACTTACATTATGTAACTACTCAGCAGATAATCAATGACAATGATGTGGAAAACATTTTTCCTACTTTCCAGATTCGCATTGCAGCATTGAATGAAAGTTCTTCTGATGGAAGTGACTCGAGCTCATCAGAAGCTCTTACTAAAGAGGCAAAGGTATGTATTTGTTGATTTCCCTTATGTTTTATGTGACCTCCATCTTTAATTTTAAGCTTAAGCCTGGCAGATCTGCTGTTATTGTAAAGTTGTATCATTATTATGCTTATGCTGTATTAACCTACAAGTTATGGATTTTGGTTTTAAATGTATCTTTTCTTTACAGGAAGCTGAAGTATTTGGATGGTACAATAAAGCTTTGGTTTTACAGAGACAAGGAAACATATTTGATTCTGAGTCAACATTTCTTCAGATTATAGATCATCCTTTTCTTGATGAGGTAAAGATATTACTTTCAGTTCAATCACCTTTTTAGGCCCACTTTGTCAAATGCCACACTTTTAAATTTGTATCCATGTGCTGCATAATTGAATTATTCAGCCATTCTTATGCATAATTGTTACTCAAATGTTAATGTGAAACTTATTTATTATTATTTAAAATTTGTGCCTTAGTTGATTTGTGTTACAGGCTAAAGAACTGATAGAAAATGAAGTTGAAGGAGCTATACATCCAGGTCTTGCCCTCTTGTACTCAGTTCATAAAAATCTGGCAGGTATCGCTTTAAGTAGACAAGATGAGAAAACAGCCTTACAACATTATTTAGAGGTAACCAATCTTTTATATACTCTCCATTCTGGTTTAAAAATTATCTCATCTTTCTTATTTGCTTTGAAGGTGGCAAGTCATTGCCAGTGGGGTACATTTTTAAGAAATTTCAAAAATGTGATTTTTAGAGCTTCTGCCCATATCTTAACCCAAGCAGAGACCCTCCCCCTCCCCATTAAATCAATCTGCTCCCTTTTTGAATGCCCCGATTATACATGTTACAAGTTTGGTGAGACATATAGAAATGAAGATTCCTGTGTTTCAATTTCATTTGTATTCAATATGATATGATGTGATTTGTATCACTATTTCAGGCTGTTAAGATAGATGAAAGTGAAGTGACAGTATGGTTTAAGATTGGTAAAATAGCCGTTAATGAACATAATTACTCATTAGCTAAATTAGCTTTTGAACAGGTTAGTTATCAATATATGAAATACCCAGAGTAAGAGCGGCAAACTTGGTCTGAATAAAAGAAGTCATCAGAAATCTCAATATTGTATTGGCAATCTTACTTCAGATCCCAGTGTTTGATAATGATATGATAAGTTTGTAACTTAATAATATTTTCTTATATACATGTAGTTATATTTTAGACATCTTTCTAGTTATTTTATGACAAGTATCCATCAGAAATCTTAGTAAAATTAACAATTATTTTACAGTTTCTTTATGACTGATATATTGAAGCAATGATATATGATTCTTTGTATTGTAATATTCTTATAAATGATATGTTTTAATCATTTCAGGGATTGGTGTGTAATCCTAACCACTGGCCATGTCTAGATAGAATTGTAACTATAACTTATGCTTATAATAACATGTGGAGTAAGTAGCATTATTTTTAAGATATTTGCAAAATTTTGAGCAACTTTTCCCGATTTTCTAATCTAATAAAATACTTTGTCAATTACAAGATATTTGTTCAAATTATATAGAACAATATTTACATATTTATAATGTAGCTTTAGCTTAGCTTATCAGTAGATGCAAATAACTAATTTTTTATCTTTTTCTTATTTGAAAATCTGAAACAAGACTTGACTTACCATGCAATATTCAACACAACAGAATTTATATTTGTGGTATTTTTCAGATTGTTTAGAATATATAGCTAAAAGTCTAGAGTTAGATTCTAGTTATGGCAAGGGATTAGCTATAAGAGATCAGATATTTAAGGAACAACCAGAGTTAAAGTCTATGTCCAAGCGACTATTCTCTTTATGGTAAATATTACTTGTTCATAATCAATTCAGATTTTGAAATATTCCTTTAGGACCGGTAGTATATTATATGTATCTTAGATGTGGATAATATTGTTCCGTTGCTAAAGGACTATGGAAATGACTAAAAAGCAACCAAATTGCTACTGCTTTTATTTGAAAATTTGTCATAGACAAAATTAATATCCCTCTATGTCATGATGAAAATGAGGATTGATGTAAAATAAAACATGAATTTGTGGTCAATGGGAGATATTTAGTATTATTTTGAAGCTATCCAACAGAATCACTTAAATTTATTGAATTATAATTTGTTATTTTAGTGATCCTGTTGTTGAACGTAACAAATGTGAGAAGAAGGAAGCTGAAGAGGTAATGTAATATGATTGTTTTTATAGTTATTTCAAATTTACAAGATATTTCCTTTTTTAAAAAAATTTTTTTTTTCTTTTTCTTCCAAGTATATCAATGAAATAGGAGCTATTGTTTATGAGATGTTTTATATTTCTAGTATATCAAGGAAGCTATAAATATAAGAGATAAAAGGCGAGAATTAGCTAAACCTCAGCCCCCTCCAGTTATTAAGCTACCAGAAAAAATAGATAAGTACACGTAAGTTAATAGTTTCTCTTTGTTCAATAATGTTTTGGAAACAAATTATGTTTAGACGTTCATTATATTATTACAGTTGGAAATAAAAGAGAAAGTTTGAAAATTTAACCTCTATTTTGGCAAAATCTGTCTTATTGCAATGTAATGACATTGCTGGTTTCATTAGCCCAATAAAGTGAATAAATTATCATGAAAGTAATAAATTTCATTTTGGGTTTGTATTTTTTTTTATTTTAGTTGGAAGAGAGTTGGAGAATGTTTGGTATCACTGATTAATTATGCGTTGGAACCAAATCGTTCTGTAGTAAGTAATATTTCATAGGTGTCCTGTGTGTCTTGGATTTGGGAATAAGGTCTAGGATATATGGTAGAAAGCATCTTCAGATTTGCAAAGAGGTTAACATGAAATTACTTCAAGTCTTGTAGATTGTTGTACATTGCTTGGTTTGGGCAGGCTGAATTATATTTTTTATCAGGGTAAAGCTAATATGTTGTTAGTCGTGGATATATAAAATTGCGGTGGCTCAGCTACTCACTCCCTCTCTAGCTCTCATAATTAGGTTTTTGAAAACTGTATTTATCTAAATTTTAGAGTTTGTGTCTGCCTATTGATATGAGTGATTATGAGAATGTTCTAGAACAGCCAATGGAAACAGATGTCCCTAAAAAAGAGGTTTCTGACAAAGAAGACACCAAGATGGAGTCTAATACTATTAAACAGGACAAGGTAGAAAGTGCTTGCTCAGTGACTTCCAAAGCAGATGCTGAAAATAAATCTTTGGAAACAAAAGAACCGAAAGATATTGAAAAGCCTGGACCAGATGAAACTACTGCAATAGAAACCAAGCCGGATCTTGATACGAGTTTTACTGAATCCAGTCAAGACTCTGATGCAGAAATGACAGAGTTAACAGAACAGAGTAGCAGTGAAAGTGTGGTGATTTTAGATCTCGAACAGGATGTAGACAGCCAGAAATCAGCCAACACAGTTAGTAATGGTCCAGCAGCAGAAGTCAAAACATCTTCTTCTGACAGTCAGGTTTCTTCTTCCACAAATGTTGTTGCTACCAGTCTTCCATCATCACAATTAACAGAGGCTGGGACCACAAGTCAAGTAACAACAGTTGACAGTGAAGCAGCAGATAGCCAGTCATCTCAGAAAATTGAAACAGATGATCCAATGTCATCTCAAGTTAAAATATCCAGTAGTCAATCCTCGTTCAAAGAAGACAGCAAAGTATCTTCACAAATGGAAAGTCAACCTGTTTCCCAGGTATCAGATGTAGAGATGACAGCTTCCAATATTCTTGCTCAGGTAGCAGCAAAAGTAGCAGCTGATTCATCAGTAACAACACCTGCAGATTCTCAACAGTCATCACAGATGTCTACCACACAAGAATCATCTAATACCCAAACAACAAACCAAGACAATGTAGACTCAGACTGTGTTGTGGTAGAGGTGTCCACTGAAAATCAATCAATATTTCCCAAGGCAGCTGAAAAGACAGATGCAGAAATCTCCTCATCTGCAAATAAAAGCAGCTCCCAGCAAAAACCAAAGACCAGTAGTATATTGGCTAATATGATTGTTGGTGATTTCCTTCCTGCAGAAGATGTTGTTCAGGATTTTGATTATGGAAGTAAGATTTTTTTTTAGTGATGATACATTCACATTTTATTTCACCCACTTAAATTTTTTATTTGTGTTTGGAAATAAACCTTCAATGTAACTGTTTGAGATATTTTCTATGGGTATTTTCAGTTATTCTATTTATGAGATAAGTGACTTGAATCACTTGATGACATCATTAATAATGTTTTTCAAATTTTATCAATATGAATTAATCATAAAGCTTTGTTGACATGGTTTGATTTTATTTTAAACAAAAAAATATTCCTGATATCAAATTACATCCATGCTGAAAGAAATGCCAAAGTTCTAGTATTTAAATTAGATTTTTATATTGTAGGTTTGTTTAAAGATAATGAAGCTAAACCTGGTACCCCAACCTCCCGGAATGATCTGAATAAAAAACGTAAAAGGTTATATTTAGATGATAGATATGGTAATAAAAGACGATCTGCTAGAGTAAGTTATAGTTAATATAGAATTAACCCATCTCTTATATTGTACATTATTTGGTATCTAAATATATTCCAGCACAATTTGTCATTTCATTAAGCTTTGACAAAATTTTGTGATATTGGAATGGTGCATAAAGAAGCTATAGGTATCCCTGATACACATACAATGGGCTTGGAACCTTTAATAACCCTTGGCTCCTGTCAAATTTGCTGTATTATATTAATTATAACAGGTAAAACATACCAAAGATCAAAAACAAGAAGAAAGTGTCAACTTTCAGGAATTGTTACAGAAATTTTTACCATCAAGTTTAGTGTAAGTTACTATACATTACATAACATTAACATCATCATCTTTACTTTATGTCACTTTGAGTCTTGGAATATAATTTTTTTGCAACCATTGTTAAAAGGGTTTATCTTTCTACACAAGGTATCAAATTTGAAGATATCTGCATGAGATAGAGGAAATCGCAAAGCTCAAAGAATTTTGTCAAGTTATATTTTTTTCTTTATTCTTATCCATGACTCTTGACATTTATTGAAATGTAGATTGGATAATCTAGGCACTATAAATTATATTGAAATAGAAATTGATAACTAATTTTTCTCAATCTTTTAGTAACACTTTTGTACACTATGATAGTAGAATAAAGAAAAGCTTAAAAGCTTGAATCGAATTTTTTTTTTTTCAGTCAAAATGATGAAGAAGATGATGAAGAAATGAGAAGTGATGAAACTGAATCAGAACAAGAAACAAATAAAAAAGGTTAGTATTTGTTCATATCACAGACAATTTCAATAGGTTTGGGTATTATTGAATCTAATGGATATTACAAAATCTCTTATTAATATATCACAATATATGAATTCATAGCCATTTTTATTTCAAAATACATTATCAACTATTACTGGTCAACTATGGATATTAGCAAAACCTACGGCAAATAACTTCATAATATTATATATGACAAAAATTGCGACATTTTGGTGTTTATAAATAAGAACATTTTGATAAGGATATAAATTCCTGTACTGTTATTTATTGCAATGTCAGTATATATTGCCTTGCTCTATCATTCAATAACATAAGATAATCAATATAGCAGCTTATTTAATAATTTTGTTACAACCCGATGTAATAGGATTGAGTAAATATATTTATCTTTATTAGCTGATTGGGGACTGACAGTTCTTACTTGTTAAACTGAATTATATTTCTAGATGTTGTAGTAAAAACTGAAGATGTAGAATATTTAAAAACAACAGAAGATAAAGATGTTAGAGAATTTATAAAATCTTGTATTAAAAATGGTGGTATTGTTCATCTCTGTATAAAATATCTAATAACTCTGGCTCATCAAGACCATAAAATATGGTAAGTCAGGGTCGTAAGAAGGTCATTGAATTAGGAGTAGGGGCTGAGACTCCTCCTGTGGTAGGGTTCTCCTCCAGGAAACTGCAAATGAGGGTTTAGTGGCATGCATCTGAGGCCATTCAGGACATTATTCTTGTTGATGCATTAAAGGGACAGATGCTCCATTTTGAGGTGTTGATTTGAGTCTTGAAAATATGTTAATAGTCTTCAGAGGTATTTGAAATTCATGGGAATTTTACTCACTATGTATGTCTTTTCTATATATCACAGACTATCTTTTTGAATTGAAAATTGAATAAATTTTAACATTCAAATGCAGACACACATGGATGAAGGCTAAAATTTTGACGGTGAGATGTGAACACTGTATATGATTGGCTTAGCTAAAAAATTGTGTTTCTGAGAATAAAGTATGATTGGTCATAAAGAATGGCGCATCTATCCCTTTAAATGGTCAGATTATGACAACCTTTTGTTTAGTGAGCCAGAGTCTTACTCAGTAACATATACAATGTATTTGATAACAAACTTTTGATTTTATTTTATTCTATGAATTTTTTCATTGTATTTGTAGGCAAGAAGAAGTACATAAATCATTTCTAGATGTATTTAAAACTTTAAGACCAATCACATCTTTTCCTGATCTCTTCAGGTAGGAATTATTTTCATATTTACATTTTCAACTCTACCAGCCACCGATGGTGAACCTGAGCTGTTATCCAAGTATAATGTAGTTGTTTCAGTTTCAGAGTTCTCCTGTCCATTTAAGGGTTTAAATCTAAATAAATCAATCTATATATGTGTTGTATATTTCAGTGAAAGTATACCCATAGACATGAAGTATGATTTTTCAAAAGTAAGTACTGATTGAAAGTATTGTGACTCATTGAGTTATTGTGACTCATTCCTCATTCACTTACTCATAGGTTTGAAACAGTACCTTTTAATATCAGTTCCAGACTTTCTCCAAGAAAGTAACAATTCTCAATATTCCATTCAGTAGTAATAGTTAGTCAGAGGCCAAATAACCACAGGAAAGCGAAATGACCATAGGAAGACCAAATGACAATAGGAAGGCCAAATGACTATAGCAAAGCCAAATGACAATAAGAAGACCAAATGACAATAGGAACACCAAATGACAATAAGAAGGGCAAATGACAATAAGCTGGACAAATTAACATGGGAAGGTCAATTGACAATATGAAGGCTAAAGTACAATAGAATTTGAATAGCATGACTGTATTATATTGTAGATTGGTCTAGTGGGATGCGAATTACTCTTAGATGAATATGTTAGAATTAATGGCTCATTGGAAAAGGATGTGTTATCTAGGTAAGTTCATTTTGAACTATTCCTTTGTAAATCGTGGCCCCTAAAGCAGGCATTTATCTTTACCCTATTATCCATACCCATTTACATCTAGGTCGATTGAATGTATTAGGAAAAATGACTTATTTAAGGTTACCAGATTTTTCAAAAGCTGACCAAGATTAGAAACCACAACCACCATTTGTTAAGAAAATGATGTCATGTTTCCAGTGTTCCTACAGATTGGGTTTCTGAAGGAAATGTTGGTTCAAATTCTTCATTTGATTTCTAATGAAGCAAAACAAAAATATATAAGAGTTTAAGGAGAAAAGCTTGGACTAAATTGTATTTATCCGCAATTGAAAGCTAAAAAGACAAATTTCCTTTTTTTGGACACTGCCATATAGAAAAGACAATAATAGAAGTAGGAAATATGAGATATTTTGGGAGTAATTATGCGATTTTTATACATTTCTAGTACTTCTGAAGACTACTCACATATATTCAAGACTCAAATTTACCCTCCAAAATGGCGTATCTGCCCATTTAAAGTGCATTTATGAAAAATTCAATAGATGCATTTACTGAAAATACTGATATTGAAATATGGTAAAAGGCTTTGAAATATAAATGTCTGTTGTTCTATATAGAGATGAAATAGAAGATATATTCAGTAGATATTTAAGAGAAGATTTATGGTATATTTTATTCTGTATTGGATTTCCCACTGTAATTCAAGATAGTCCTTCCTACTGTATAAGAGGTTAGAGTTTTCATAATTCAAGATGGTCCTTCTTATTGTATTAGAGGTGAGAGTTTTCATAAATCAAGATAGTCCTTCTTATTGTATTAGAGGTGAGAGTTTTCATAATTCAAGATAGTCCTTCTTATTGTATTAGAGGTGAGAGTTTTCATATTTCAAGATAGTCCTTCCTACTGTATAAGAGGTGAGAGTTTTCATAATTCTTGATGGTCCTTCCTACTGTATCTGATGTGAGAGTTTTCATAATTCAAGATAGTCCTTCCTACTGTATCTGAGGTGAGAGTCTTCATAATTCAAGATAGTCCTTCTTATTGTATTAGAGGTGAGAGTTTTCATGTAATTTTTATGGACTAAAATGACATGTTAGAGTATGGTGTGCGGGTTTCAATGGCTTCACTAAATGTTTTAAGAAAGACAGAAAGAAATAACCATATTTTACAGCCTAGGTTTTTTAGGATCTGCCAAATTTAATTTCTTATGACACATCATGCTGAAATTTTGAGCCGTTCTGAAAGATGTTCAAGAACTGGATTGTCGCCTCAAGATTCCCAGGAGAGTGTCACAATATTTTTGGGCATCTTTACGTGCCATGTTATGTAAAATTAATAATCTTATTTTTTAGTACATTGGTTACGAGGAAGATTTTATCTATTACAAGGTGATATTGAACAGGCTGTTGTTTGTTTTGAACAGGTAATTCAACGATACTTTCATTTGCATGTATATGTCAAACAAATGATGGACGTGGGTCCTAATTTCAGTCTGCATGTTAAAGTCTTGAATAAGTCATCTTTTCTAGTTATTTGAGAATTATACCCACCTGAAAATGGATATGGATAATCAGGGAAAGATGTATGTGATAGTTATGTGTCTTTTTGGCATCTTTTTTACCTATCTTTGTTCCATAAACATTTACTATTGGCTTATTATTTTTCACCCAGGTAAATAGTAAAATGTATGTTGAATATCAAGTATAAGAATTGCACAAAATTGATGTAGTAAGAAGTACATTTAATCCAAGGGAAATAATTGTGTTTATATTTCTAGGTTTTATATTATCTTAAAGAACTAGAAGAGAAAGAGTCCAAGTTATTTATTAAACTACAAAATTGTCATTCTGATCAGCTCATTACACCAGGTAGGCCTGTACTGAACATGTTTAGAGTTAATATATATAATTCATAAGTTTAAATGATTTTTATACAGGCCAATCAATACACTTCTACATACAGTTTGTTTTGTAATTACGAACACACACTTCTGAGTATTATATCAGTATGTATGAAAAAGGTCATTGGTTACAAATTATTGATAAGGGTGTGTGGTTTACGTTCACAAGATAAAAGCTACATTTTTAATCTGATTAAGATGTGGATAAATGAGAAATCGGTCTTGAAATTCTATAATTACTGCTAGTACCTTTTTGGCTCATCCTGTTTGATACTCAGGACTATTTTCTCTTTTACAGAAAAAGTTACTAATAGAAAAGACAATGTACAGAGAAGTCATTCATTAGGTCAAACACAGAAACTATTTGAATCTGAATCATATGATAAAGTTATAGATACCTTATTAAAGACATTTGAAGAGTCTCGTAATAAGGTTCCACAATCTTCTGTAGCTCCCAGTGAAAGACATAGTCAAATCAAACTTTTACAGAAAGCTTTATTTAAAGATGGAGATATGCAGGTAAGAGCATCAGACATTACTTCAGTGTTAAGATAGTAAATCTTCAATTGTTGTCTGTCTATTTTCTAATTAACCCAGACCGAAATTTGTATCAATGGTTGGCAGATGACAAGTTAACGTTCACTTCCAGCGAAAGCTGATATAGCAAACTAGGTAGTTGTTGGTTGGTAGTCGTAGTAGTTGGTAGTTGGGTTGGTTCAAATTGGATGATGCTGTGTTGTTGGTTTGGTTGTTGATACTTCATAAGATCTCGTAATCTCGCGGTGAGACTTGTCCCTGGGGGGTGTGATCTTCTTCATTCTTCCAAACTTGTTCTGATAATGCTAATCCTTGTTGATTGGTAGTGGAATGGTAGTCATTGGTTTGGTTTGGTTTTGTTAGATAATCTGATAACTGTTGGAAAACTGGAAGACCTGAACAAAAATTAACCTTGAAGGTAGCAGACTGAAATTTGTATGACTGGAGACTGGTATATATGTTGAATTTCAAAGAATCTCATTGGTCTAGAACTCAATTTTCTTCCAATCATAATCAATATGCTAATTGACCTTGAAGGTCAGGTTTTACAGTCTCATTTTAGAAAATTAAGGCTTAATTTTTTTTTACTTAATTTTTGCCTCTATTGATTCTCAGATCATTCTTGTGCCCAATAAAATAATTGATTTGATAATAATTCTGTATAAATCATTTTGTAGAAATGTATTTTATGGGGTGAAGTCTGTTATAGTGAGGCATTACATTATTATCGTAAAGCAGCTACCCCAACACAACGTGAAGAATGGGCCAAAACTATGGTGGAAGTTCTTAACTCTTTAAATAAGTAATTATATTTGAGTATATTTATTGTATTTTCAACTAGTTACACTGTATATTTGTCACAATCAATCAATGAATTCAGTTTTAGCTACCTTTAGAAATTTCATATGAAAGACTGACATCAGGTGTGCCTACGAGTAGATCGAATATCATCAATTTGCACCATTCCAATTATCAATCAGATATTTGTCTCTTGCAACTCCACTAAAAGTAAGTATTTTATGATGTCAGTATTGCAAAAGTTCTTTTTGTATTTTAGGATCGTGCAAAAGTGACATTATAAAACACAAAGTTTACGAGGAATTGCAAGAACCACAGACGTGTGATTGAAAATCAGTTTAGAAGACCTCTTTACTTTCCATTTAACAGTCATATTTTCATTTTTTAAAGGGCATTTGAAAAAGATGTAACTGCTAGTAAAGGTTTACCATCCTTCAATAAAATAAGATTTAGTGAGAATTTAATCAAGATTATAGAGACAATGATGGATGTTTCACCCAATGTTACTGAGATGCCAGTAGGAACTGTCATACCATGGTTATTGTTATATAGACTTATACACCAGTAAGTATGTCTTTACATCCTCTATGTTGGCTTGTTATGGTTTTGATATTAAGGGTTTGTCAGTTTAAAGATTTCAATTATATATATGATCATCAGGATTGATGTGTTTTTAAATTCCAAGGCCTAGGGTTAAAGTGGTCGTTTGGACCAATAAACTTCTATATTTTGGAAATATAAGCAATTAGAATTTGTTTAAAAAGATAGGAGAAATTGGAAAAGCACAACCTCATTTCCAAACAGATGTATTCTTCAAAGTTATTGACAAGTAAATTATGACATTTTGCATGCATTTTCCTCAAAAAGACTAATTCTCCTGAACTTAAACTTGGCTGTTTATTATTATTTGTAGTGAAGAGGTGAAGCTACATTCTATGATAGCTAGTCAATCTAAAGATCAAGCTGATGTTTTAGAAGGAGCTATAAGTACTTCTTTAATGTTGTTAAGTGTTGCTCATGAATATCTAGGAAGGTAAGTTCACCTTAGTGTTTATTCTTATATAAATTTAGGTATTTTGTGGTTCAAACCCTCAAGTATCCTATTTAGAGCACTTAAGCATGTGACACACGTCATATTTGAAGCTTTTTGTTCATATTATTTAACAGTAAGACAGTTTATTTGTATTGGGTAAGATATTATGACATGACATGACATAAGTCAGTTGTCTGAAGATCGCATTGCGCGAAACTCATAGTAACAACAACATGTTCTTTTAGGTTCTGTTTTAATATTTCTGTATTATATATTAGATATTTGCTAAATCTTGTGTTATTTTGATATAAACTAGTAGTGTAAATATGTTTCAATTGTGTATGTGCTTCAGGTGGTTCACCTTCAGAAAGCTCCAATAAATGAACAAGTATTCACTGAAGAAAATAATTCATATGAACAAGGAATTAAAACAATCTTTATCTTTTATATCTATTCAGACATTCATGGTGTACGAAGAATAATGGTGCAGTATTATTATTATTTCTTAAAGTATTACGTAAAGAAAGAAACAAGAGTAAATTGTCAGCCAGTTTAAAAGAAGAGTTAGATGTGGCTTTTGAACAATGCATTTACTGTCTTTACGGTCATCCTAATAAAAAATCCAAAAGTAGAAGATTGCACGATCACAATTCACCTCCAGTATGTAGTTAAATTCTGTTTATTTTGGGTTAAGGATGGATGTAGCTCATTGTTAATATATAAAAACTTGTGAAATCACATCCTAGAGATCTGTTTTCAGACTAACAGATAACTTGAATCCATATACCTTTGTTTATGGTTTTAGATTTGATCCAAAAGTTTAATGTATCCTATATTAAAAGTTGAAAATAAAATCTGTACAACTACAAGCAAGACAATTTCATCAATCAAAAATTTTAAAGTAGTGGCTCCTCCAAAGAGAAGTACCATCAGGTGTTTGATTTTGATTTTGAACTTAATTCTTTTACAGATCTCTCTGACATGGACAAGAGCTCAAGCAGTATTTGAATATTATAAACCCTCAACTGTACCAGAGTTTGATAGTTATAAAACTAGTACAGTATCAACAGAGGTAAATAGTCTCTGATATTATTTGTGAAATTGTTTATTTTCACTCAAGGATGAACACTTTCAAAAATGGTTATTATTGAAGAGTCAATCCAACATCTGGTTTGTCTACAATCAGATAAAGAAATATTTTTGTATTTTAGCTTTTTGTATTTTAACTTTTTTGCTATAATCCCTACAAAATGAAAAAAATGTGTTTATTATTATATTGATTATTCTAGCTGGAAGGATTATTAAGAAGGGTTTTTGTATTAGTACCAGAAGAATTAGGAGGAGGTATGGTAATTTACTGAATATATGTTATAATTTATGTGGAAAATTCACAAATGATTTACGCCTTGTCATAGATTTTAGGGATGTGACTAATTATTTTGTACATTAAAACATTGGTTTAGATTTTAAAATGAAAATAAAATGAATTTTTATGATTGGACTAATGAAGACAGGCAATGCCACTCGGTGTGCAATGAAGAAAATTTTGTTTGGTACATAAGCATTAGCCCAATTTCTTTTATGTGCACTGTCTATAGCATACTGGGCCCCTGTTGTCCCATCCGAACCATTGAACACTTTTTCCACGTTAGCCAGTGTCAGGTTAATACCAAATGCAAGGTATTATCTAGATTTATATTGGTATCGAACACTGGACTCACTGAGCCAGGGTTTGGATGTCAGCACTGTGATTTATATTATAGCTGGTAAAGTTGATACTGTAGTTAAATATATAGATGGAGATGTTAATACACCACCAAGTTTTGAAACTGACAAGTAAGTAATTATATTCATTATATTGATATTGTTTAGAGTATTATGTAAAGTTCAGAGCTGCTCCCTTTCCTGAATGAATAAATCTGATATTGAAGTTTTTTGCAAGAAATAATACCACTTATATATTTTGATCATTGAAATAGCAGCTATTTAACTCAGTTTCTTAATAACTTTAAGGGATTGTAAAGATAATTTTTTGAATTTTGTATGTGTATCAGGGACACTAACAACATTCCAATTTTTAGTCAGTGGTTCCTGCAATTCCACAAAAAATAAATGTTTCATGATTTGACTAATTGCAAAATGTGCTTGTATCACATAAGAACCTTCACAATTAGTGATGTCATCAAACACTTAGTTTTATTGAAATGGTGCAAATTGATGTTATCAGCGTCCCTGAAACACATAAAAAATTTAGAAATGGTGTGATAAGTGATACTGGTCATATAACATACTCTTTGTGGTTTGTGAATCAACTATAATAATAAAATTTATTTCAGTCTGGTGTTAAAAGAACTCTATTATTTGTTAGCTGATTATTATTTCAAAAACAAGGAAACTTCGTAAGTTATCATGCTTTTAAAACTTCAAATATATTTAATGATGAGTACTTGTGAATTGATGATGAAAAATTTGATTAAAAAAAAAGAAGAATAATAACTAAAGCAAAGATATGTTTATTATCATCAAACCAAAATTTCATTAATGTTTTTATATTTCAGGAAAGCTATCCGATTTTATCAATGTGATTTGTGTGTAAATCCAAAGAGATTAGATTCTTGGGCTGGAACAGCTTTAGCTAGGATGAGTCAACTAGAACAAAAGCTGAATTCGGTAAATTTCCTGTTTTCCTGTTTTTAATATCAAAATAGGATTAAGGGAAACATTCATTCATGAATTGTATGACTCCATACATACAAGATTCCTTGCATTAGATTTAGCTTCCATAGCTCACAAAAGGAGCAAATTAATTGGAAAGTTGAGTGTTTTGTGTTGTTGTAATTGTAAGCATGTGATTGATCTACAAAGCAATAATTTAATTTCTTTTATGATGTTTCAGATGGAATTAAAACTGGACATGCCAATCCACAAAAAAGCAATTGCTGCTTTAAGATGTTTCAAGAGAGCTGTAGAGATTAATGATACAACTAGAACATTGTGGATAGAATACGGTTCATTAGCTTATCAACTTCACTCTCATTCTTCACGTCAGCTAAAACTGGTAGGTAATCCTAGATTGTATTTGACTCAATAATTTCAGCCTGGCTAATAATTTCATTTCATACTGATAAGTCTTCAAAGTGCGTTAACCCTTGTTTTATTTGCTTCAAATATCTAGTTTATGTGACATCAAGATTGTGTCTTTGTTCTCAGCGTTACTATTTGTTGTTTTCACAAAAAGGATAAGGCACTCTGATTTTATGTAGATTTTAGGTAGTTGAAATAACTCTAATCTCTATGATCAATTTAACCTTTATATTTGATATTCTGCTTTGAAAAAGCTGTTTTTAAAGTCACTTTTTCTAAATTAGATTTTGCAATTGGATTTTGGCAATTTATTGAAAAATGTACAATATGTTCAAGAGATTTATTGACAAATTATATGACTCTTAAAAATGTTGGATTTTTGTTATATAGCAATATTTCAGGGGTTTCTTCTACCTATGTTTTGTTATATTTTTAATCACAAAATGAGATAAATTGGTATTTATAACCATTATAAAATTCTGTTACATAGACTGATGTGTTAAATATATTTGCATTGGACTTTTAAGCCTTCCTTTAAAAATGGTATACCACTTCAAAGACCATGAGGTAAAACCATTTCACATTTTTCCATTCATTTATACTTATAGAAGGACTGGTTCTCATTAGATCAAGAATTACTGCAGATTGTCAATGATATGAAACCAGAGATGTTACAGATAGCTAGAAATTGTTACTGGAAAGCCAGTGAATGTGAAGCCGACGGTAGTGAAGAAGAGTGGTTACATCACTATATGATGGGAAAGATCAAAGAGAAGAAAAGAGCCCATCCTAAAGATTATTTAGAACACTATAGACAGGTAGAGTAATATTGAATATATATATCTTGTCCTATTACCTTCCAGCTACCTTTTCAGAATGATAATACAACCCATGGTTAACCTTCACTTGGATCGTATTAACCATAGTCCTAGTAATGATATTGTAATAACTAATATTGTTATTAACTATCAAGACTATAACAAAGAAACATACAACATTTTCATATTATAGTAAAATCCAATATCTTAAATAATAATATGATAATAATGTATTCTACATTGAGGAAAACCAAACTTTGTTTTAAAAGGGTAAATTAAAAATGGAGAGTACTAATTGTTAATTAAGCAGTTTGACCTAGTTTTGATGTTTGGCTTTATAATAGCTTGGTAATATTTGTTGAATCCTTTAGAATACATAGGAGACATATTTCTCTACAATTAGGTGTTTAATTTTACTCAGATCCATACATACAGCCTCCAAAAAGCAGAAGGTTACGTAAACTTTATAAATGGTTTTTTTTGGTAAAATTTTCAGATATGTTAAGGGATACATTTCTGTAGATTTTGGTTTATAGTTTTCACAAATTTGAAAAAAAAAAAAAATTCAACCATCAAAAGAAGCAGAATGCACCTTTAAACAGTTTTGTAAGAAACAGGTATCTGAAGTTTACTTGAGCAATCTGTTGTGTTTCAGGCAGCAATATACTTACATGAAGATGAAGCAGTTTATCCTAAGAAAATAGTGTTTTCTCACAGTCCACCCCATCTTGCTATAGAAGCTTTGGAGGTGTTTTATAGACTTCATGCCACCATACTAAAACATCTTATTAGAGATGATGGGACACATGACTATAAATTATTTGAAGAATACATCACTGAAGCAGCCAACAGTCCTTTTGCTAAAGGGCGAGAAAAAAGACAGGAAAGGTAATTATCCAGTGCTTGTCTTTAATTTCGGGGAAGGTAGTGTTTTTTTTTTTATTTTTTATGGATGATTATTGATTGATCAGTGAAATCAAGAGAAAACTAACTTATGCTGATCAAAGCTCTATTCCGAGGATCACAGTCATACAACCTTAGTCTACCATCTTGAATAAAACTCAGATTTCCCAGATCAGTTCATGAAACTATTTGGTTTTCTTTCAGAAGAGAATCGACAAATGAAGACAGTTCCTCAAATTCTGCTTACTGCTTCTCAAAACAGAAACCAGTTTATCATATGACACCTCAAGACCATACTTACTCTAAACTAATGAGTAGTTCCTCAGGTTCTGATACAGATAATAATAGCTCTTCTTTGGTTGAGAACCCTGGTTCTAACAAAGCAGGTAAAGAGAGTACAGAGTCTGTTGAGAAACCAATCAAATTAGAAAAGCAGACCACAGAACCGTTTGTGCCTTCTGCTGCATTTGATGGTGCTGAAGGAGCAGGTTCAGAACAACCTGAGAAAATGGACACCAGTGACAATCAATTTACTAAAGAAGTCGGTGGAATGAGTATGGAAACTGCCAAAGAAGCACCAAGTTTTTACTCAGAAATGAGTCCAAAATCTGAAACTACTGTTACTGACAAGACAGAAAAGGAGAATATTAGTGCAAAACCTGACACAGACAAATCTGAAAATCCCAAAATGGATAACTCTAAATCTGACAATATTAATGTGGACAACTCTAAATCAGAAAATTCAAATGTGGATGATTGTAAAGCAGAAAATTCAAATGTGGATGACTCTAAATCTGAAAATCAAAATGTTTTTGTCTCTGAATGTAAAAAGTCTGCCCCAAAAGGGGACAACTCTAAATCTGAAAATTCAAACAAAGATGAAACACAATGTGAAAGTGCTGCAGCTTCAAAAACTGAGGAAGACATGGTCATTGACCTGACTGAAAGTGATGAGGATCTTTCAAAGAAAACATGTCTCTATCCTGATCAAAGAGTAGATTTAAAAACGCATTCCAATACTCCAAAGACTGATTCTGAAAGGAAAATTCAGGATAAACCAAAAGATGATGCAGAAGCTCAAGTAGTTGATCCTGAAGTAAAACGGAAAGAACTAATATCAAGTTGTATGAAAACATTAAATATGTGTTTATCCAGATTTCCTAATCATTATAAATCAGTTTACAGATTAGCATATGCGTATACTTACTCTAAAAATCACAAGGTTTGTACAATCTCTTTTCATCAATACAAATTTATTACTGTGAATGTTTCAACATAAGGAATAGAATATCTAGATATCAAATGTGATATCAATATGTAATGACCCCTGGTATAATTTTCGTAGAAACTTAAAGGGATTGTTAAGATGATTTCTAAATTTGTTATGCTTATCGGCGACACTGATAGCTTCAATTTGCACCATTTCACGTGTGTGGTTCCTGTAATTTCACTAAAACTAAGTGATTTATGACGTCACATAATGTATCACATAAGACGTTTGCGGGGGTGACGTCATAAATCACTTAGTTTTAGTAGAATTGATAGAACCACAGACGTCTGATTGCAAATTGGAATGGAGCAGATTGATACTTCTTTACAATACCTATTATTGAAAATTGTGATGTTCACAGACTTCATCGTAAGTGATTTAAAGGTTTTACAATCTCTTTTAAGTCCAAAGAAAAGTAAGTTGTATAATATTAGCCATGAGAAGCTTGAGTTTAATAAATCTTAAGTCTCATTAAGCAAGCAGTTTGATTCAAATCATTCTTCAATTTCAGAATCTACAGTTTGCCAGAGATCTGTTATTAGGAACCAACCATTGGCAGAAAACAGATCATATGTCATCTCCAGGATTATTTCATGAGAGGAAAACAGCAAATTTCTTTCAGGTATGTTTGAGATATGAAAAGATTCTCAAGAATTACTCATTCTACATGAAAATCTTTTAACTCCTTTTATTTTGTCTAAAAAAACTGCTTGAAAGCACATTGATTGGGTGGACCAACCTGTTTATATCTATTTGGATAACAATGCTCCCTTCCTATCTTCCCATTGACAATTCTTTAAAGCTATTTTTAGTCCTCAAATTGGTGAAAATAACTGATACATCCAAATCACAGTCCATCAGAAGTCAAAAGTCCTCAATTGAACAAAATCTAGTTTGTTGCTTGCTTGAATAAATCTTATATCAGATATTTGGTTTCTTTGGCAGGTTGATTAATTTGGGCAATAAGTGCTTACTGTATCTGCATTCACCTTGTTTAATCCAATTTTTATCCATATTTGAGTTTTTGCATGGCAATCTGATTGCTTTTGATGACTTATAGATTGTGATAACCATATCCCCATTGGTACATATTACAGGGTATATGGAAAATACCAGTACAAGAAATAGATAGAGCTGGTAGTTTTGCTAGTCATATGAATAAAGCTATATGTTTGTTGTTAGATATATTAAAAGAATTAAATGACAATAGAATGCTGTATAATGTACATGTTCAACTACTTAGAGTTCCAGATTCTGGCAAGTAAGAAACTTGTAAACTCATCTGACTTTTTCAGCAAGGTTATTTTATTTGCCATCCATTGAATTTTGATCCAAGAGCAATATTTTGGATGAGTTCGAATCTGATCACCATTAAATAAATATTGAATTACTGCCCTTGATTTACTGGAAGTATGTAAACCTTGGCTTGTGAACATGACAGAGACCAAAGTTGTTTTCAGGTCAAATTTGTTGTGTAGATATTCACATAATGTTGGAATTTACTAAGAATTTATTGGGTGAGTGGGCTTATCTCAATTGGCAACTGGTAGTTATTTAAATGTAAGCAAACCTGACTTTAGATTTTATTTTTGAAAAGTGATAGGCTACCAATACATAAATAAGTAGACATAAAACTTTTATAGGAAATTTCTGCGAGATAGTGAAAGAATCTATTTATGGAAACAAGCCTATAAAAATACAATCGATGTCCTAATGAATAAATGTGATCAGTTAGACAAGGAGAACAATGAAGAAAAGAGATTGTCATTTTTAATGGATGTTTATAAAGTTTGGCATCATGGTGTACATAAGATAAACAAACTCACAGAATTGACCAATAAATTGTTCATAAGAACTTATAGATTGGCCAGGAGAGATAAGGTATGTCTTAAGAGCTGTACAAATCTACTGATTTCATGCAAGAAGACCTTCATTTTGTCTGAAAACTGGAGACCGTTGAGGGTTTTCTAAAACCAGAGTAGAAGTTCAGCCATTCTCTGTATTTATTAAATCCTTCCAGACACTTGACATGACAGCGAGGGCAAGCATTTTGGCTGAACTAGAAGAAAAGTAACTCTTGTTAAGATGCACTGATCCAGACCACAATATGACAATATACATTCTAATAATTTCAACTAGTAGGTTATTATTATGATAAATGCACTAATCATAAAAATACATGGCACATGAAAACAACTTGATAATTTTTTTTTTCAAGGTTGACAACAATATAGCAGTTATAGAACAAGCTAGTAAATTTTGTCAACAGAGACAAAATCAAACTAAATTACCTCAGGTATGGTATGCTCTTTTACTTTCTATTTTATTTTATAAGCAAATGATCTTATTGCATGCATATTGTTTCTCATTATGTCCAAAGCTTGCCTAAGATTTTTCAATTTCCAGTTCCCCTGAGTAATCAAAGGTCAAAGATCTTAGATTGTCATTTGGATAGTGTTGGTACAGGCAGGTCAAATTTATAGAAAAATAAAATTATTCTGATATCCTGAATGAATTCCGCCATTGTGCTTTGTATGTCAGTGCCCATCTTCACTAGCCTAAATGACCCATTCACAAATAACTCTTGTTCATTTCAGAAGCGGCAGACTGTAAATTTTTGAAAGTATCAAGAAATCACTTTTAAAAAAGTTTGATGCGCATGTTCTTATTAACCAAGTATTCAAAGTCTAAGTTTTCCTTCAGAATACTGTATATAGAATATTATTTGTCTTTCAGATCCCTCACAGACCTGCGCTTACCTTATTTAAACCACAAGAAAGTCAGTCAGACTCTTCCTTATTTTCCCCATCCAAATCAGACAAAGAGAGCATATTCTTCTCACCACCACCCAAGAGAGTATCAGGACTGAGCACCTGTAGCTCTCCTGTACCCAACTCACCTTCTACACCAAGCCTGTCTAGCAGTAGATATATTGCTACACCAGAAACACCAACTGGTAGTTACTTATCTTCACCTGTCAGTTCCAAAAGTCTTTTAGCATCAAATCTTGGAAAATCGGATACATCTAATGTGAAACCACAATCACATGCTACAGGACAGCTTATGTCGTCTAAAACTACAGAGCAAGGGGATAAAGGTAAATCTGATGGTACTTCTAAATCAGCTTTAAAGATTGCTGAACCAATGAAGAATATATTGATGCAGGCAGTAACTAATGTTAAAAAGGATGTCAAACCATCGTCAACAGCTGTTGCCCCTACCAAAAGCCTCCCACTGTTTTCAACAAAGCAAAGCACTGCTTCAGTTGAGCCATCACAGAAGTTCATGGTTTCAAAAGGGACTGTGTCTTTGCTGAATCAATCTCTGGCACATGCTGCTACTACAGCCAAGGCTCAAAACAAACCAATCCCAAAACAAATCCCAATTCAGGCTTCTAAGAAAACAAGCCAAGTAGCACAGCACCAGCCTAATAAATCTTCAGGAAGTATCTCAAATGTAAGAAGAACCTCAAATCAGTCGAGTTCTCAAGCTAGATCTCCCGTGGAAGAAGTCGAAACATTAATTGAAGCTCCTGTTGATGCAGGAGATGATTTTTTGATCATGTCCAATCCTGATGAATTGATCCAATCTTTTCTTGGTTATCATAACTTATAAGAAGTTATCATCTTCATAATGACAATCATGTTTGTAATTGATGAATTGAATAATTGATAAAATGGCAAATCTAGATAATTAGTTGTGTGTTTATTCTATTCTGCACTCACCGTCCACGTGATCTGGCAACATTCATCTGAAAATCTTGCTCTGTCAAATGTTGATTCTGTTGCGTCAGATTACGCCTGGAAATGACACAGCGTAATACGCCGCGTTGTCCATATGAGCGTAGGCCATAGGCGAAGACACACATGCTTGAGAGGAAAACAACATGGCGGATGAATCAGACATTGAAGTCCAAGCACTTTATATCTATACAATAAACGGCGACAACCTGAAAAAAGAAGTCGCTGGGTCCTCGTTTTGGGATATTGGGAATATCACCACTTGGTGAGGCAACTATGGTGTAAGTTTTTGCCCACATTATAATGGCGTAATGTACAGGAATACTGTTGTATATTTGTGGCACTGGGTGGGTCCAACGATTAAATAGGCTTACTGTTACTGACCAAGTTATTGCAAGAACAAGCCCGTAGCCGGACTTGATTGTTCGGAGAGGAAAGTAATATATAAAGAGTGGAAATGATGTTTAGATGCAGGAACTGAATTGGCCGGTTGTCTGAATTTTTGCAGGGAGGCAATCCATTTTTTGGGGGGTGGGGTAGGATGGGTGGATTCAATCGATCAAGGATCTGGAAGGAGTAGATAGGAAAAGGCTGGAATCCCCTTATTAAGACGATTGTATTCCTTTAATTCTACTATTTTCCTCTATATTAACCATCTTCTCTTCAGAAATAATTGTATGACTAGAGAAGCGACAAGATCTGCTATAATTAGTCTATGATTATGGATGAGGCGACGTGATTTACTTTAATAGAATGATTGACGTTCGATCTTTAATCTTCCACTTCCATTCAGACTATTTAAAGAAACGGGCACTTAAAACTTACTTAATAGTAAAATATAAAAGGTCGATCAAAAGGTTCACAGAAGGCTGTTTTCAAAAGTTCGGAATATCGGAAATTAGTTGGGATTTTCATATTAAAGGGAATGTAAAGAGGTTTTCTGTGGCACTGAATTGCAAGAACCACAGACGTCGGAATGAAAATTGGAATGGTGCAAATTGATCAGTGTCCCTGATACACATAAAAAGTTTAGAAAACCTCTTTACAATCCCTTTAAGATTGGCGTGGACATCATCATTTTAATCTTAACATGGCACTCTGGAAAGAACAATATTCTTCTGAGAGTTTGATTGAAACCAGGTGTTACTATATATTTATCTACCTCTTAGGATAAACCCATCCTGTAACCTCTCGACAGTCTTCTGTTCCAGTAGAACTTTAACGGAGGACCTTTTTGGAAATATATTTCTCTGAAAAAATCGGACATCTCTTAACAGATATTATTCTCCGAATTTGACATGCCCTCTTATCCTTTGTGAACCGTTTCTCTGATTTTATGGTTTCCTGTTTTTCCATTTTGATCTTCTTTACATGAACGTTGTCTTTGTCTGAAGTAGTACACCTATTGATTGTTCACATACAACAAAGAAAGTTTTATTGCGTAGGCCAACTTATAAAAAATTGTTTCGTAACAGAAGTGATTATAAACAAATTACGCCTGAATAAATGTGATTGACATTGGTTCCTTTAAGTACATCTTGAATTTCTTGTCCTTTCAATCGATTCAATGATATTCCATATTGATTAATTCTGAAGCCAGATTTTTCTTGTCTCAATCATGCTACGCATTATTTCTTTCAGTCTAAATTGATCGGGTATTGGGCTAGCAATCTATTTTACCTCGTTAATTTAAATCTGGAAAGTTTTTCGAAAATGTGTCTTGCCATTTACCAGGATAATTGATTGAAGTAAATGTTTTCAAAGTTGCAGTTATTTAAGTTAACACGTTTCCTAAAATAAGTTTTATTAAGTGATGACTATCGTAAGATCTCAAAAGATAATACAGCGTTATTTGGAAACGTTCGGCAACATCAATTTTTGAATTTCGAAAGAATTGTCTGGCACATGCATTAAATGAATCCTTTTTAAAAATCAGTGAAAACACAGTGTATATTGTGATAAAGTGAAGATGGTTTGGGGAATTTTATCCAAGCAAGGTTTAATCACAGGAGTTGTATTTTTCTTATATAAAGCCGGAGAGTCTATGCTGGACGCAACAATTAGACCGTACATCATCCATGCTATTTGCAGAGACAATTTTCCAGAAAATACATCCATCTGTGTAGATACATCTTCACAATCTAAACTTCAACAAGAAAACATACAAGAAAGAGCTTCAACCTATTTGATTTACTATCGAATACTTGTGAACGTTCCTGCTATAGTTCTTGGTCTGGTTTGGGGAGCATGGAGTGATAAGCACAGCCGGAAGTTACCAATGATGGTACCCAGCCTTGGTAGTGTGTTTGCTGTTCTCTTATATGTGGCAAGTTTAAGACAAAACGAATGGACGATTGCACTTATTCTGTGTGGTTCAGCTGTTCAAGGCATCTTTGGAAAAAGTTCAGTGATAACTATGGCAGTGAATAGTCATCTCTCAGATATAACGGAACGGAAACACCGAACTGGAGCATTGAGTCGTCTTTTAGCTATGAACTATTTTGGATTGTTTGCGGGTTCCCTTTTATCAGGCACAATCCAAGAGTACACTGATATCAAAACCACATTAACCGTTGTGTGTTTCTTGCATGCATTTTCTGTTCTGATAACTGTTTGTTGCATTCAGGAATCGGAACAAGAAGAACCAGACTCTGGTAAATCAGGCTTGTGTACACCGACTGGGTTTAGAGACTCAATTACCGTTCACCTGAAATCTAGCAAACTGAACACTACGAAAATTTTCATAATCTTGGTGATCATGACAACTTTGAATCAAACATGTAAAGTTGGAGATCAGGATGTCACGGTATTATTTGTTAGAAAGTACCCACTGTCATGGCCGACACCGTGGTACGGATACTTATTATCTGTCGAGTACACCATGATGGGAGTCACATTGATGGTGTTGACACCACTATTAACTTCTTATTTCAATCTAGCAGATAGTACCATCATCATTCTGGGGACCTGCTGTAAATTGATAAGAACGTTATGGGCAGGATTTTGTTATGAAACATGGATGGTGTTTACTTCAGTGGTGATAGGAGCGATTGGTGGTATGTTGGTGTCTGCAGTGCGATCTCTCATGAGTAAACATGTCGATGATTCAGATGTTGGTAAAGCATTTGCAGTCCTTGCTTGTGCGGAGACCGCTTCTAAAGTTTTAGGATCTGTTATTTTTAATTATACTTATGGAGCTACAGTGTCTATCTATCCAGGATTTGCGTATCTGATGGAAATGGTTCTCTATCTAATTGTGCTGATTTTAGCAATCTGGCTTCATAAAGACGTCATGGTATCTAGTGCTTACAATCTATTGAAAGGTAACGTCGATGAAAGACCAACTGAGGCGGAAACAATACTTTTTGATTGATGAAAAGAATTTGTTGCAGTCCAGTTTCGATGATGATAATTTCATTTGTTCTAAGGTTCTTCTTTTAAACAAGGTCAGTTTTTTAATAAAACTATCTGTGAAAGTGGGCTTACAAAATTTCGCCTAAGAAAACGGGAGCAGTATGATATTGTTGAAACATTTTTTTCATGCGTAGAAAATATTCTATAACTGTTAAAGTTGCTAGACTTTGAAACGATTTAAAATGGAAATGCAAATTGCGTAGTTTGATTTATTATGTTTTCTGTAACAAGGTACAAAGTTATTTGTAAACCAACCGACATTACATTTACATTAAATTTCGACGTGATAAATAAATCATGATATAGATGTAATCCGTTTAGGCATTAAAAACAATTTAAAAAGCAATTAATGTCTTTATAACATGATATCGAAAATGCCATTTGTTCATTTCGTTGAGTGGGTGGCGCTTAGTTGTGATAGAACAAGGTTTAAATCGAAGTTAAAGCACGATTTACTCTGTAAATGTATAGAAAGAAGGGGGACCTAAGTTTTTAAAACCATCACCGGTGCGAATGTCTAAGTTTTATTCCCTTTTACTGTTTTCTTGGTTTCACGGTTGAATTGTTTGATTGTTGATAAGATATCTTTTATGCCCGAACCTTTGGCTAATTTTTCCATTTCTAAGTTATGTCTACGTTTTTCTCTGGCTGCGGTGTATTCTGCCTTTTTCTTATTTGCCGCTGAAACAACCGAGCTTACTCCCCCTGCCATTGCCCCAGCAGCCCCCGAAAATTAAGGGAAGGAGAAACAGAAATCCACCTTTTTTGACTTATTTGTCTATTTCGTCAAAATATCCGTACTTTTTTGCGCAATCAATCGTAGTTTCCACAGATACCGAAACAATACAAATCAGATTGAACTCTCAACTCTTTAGAGCTTTACAAAAATGGTCATATGGCTGAAAATTCTTTCGGATTTTTTTATTCTAATATCTTTATAAGCACAATTATACATAATAGCCACATTTTTTCAAGATGAAATTTCAAGCGAATAACGTCAAAACTGGAAGTAATATTGAAATTTTGAAAATTAATTTTAGTTCGCAATTTAGATGTTTATTAACCAGAAGAAAAAAACCAAAAATTTCAAAATAAAAAATCCAGCGACAAAAGTGGAAATGTTAGGTTCTGCAGAAAAAACTTTTGTTATATATCGTTAGAAAGAATACAAAATGTTCATTTTAGGGCTGCAACGATTCCTAAAGTGGCGATCCGATACTCGTTCAACGATACGATTTATTGCGATAATAAATGCGATTCTTTGATTAAAAGGGAAAGAAAATGAAAACTGATAATTAATAACATTTAAACACAGTTCAAATTATTTTGGCACGCTTAGAAGTACAAAATTCACTTTTCATCATTTGTTACATACAAGGACTAACAAATTTCTTAAAAATAATAAATATTAAAATACCAAACCATTGGCAAATATCTTAATTGGATATTGTCGTCGTAATAAACGGGAAAACCAAATGACTTCCAAACTTCAGATTTATACTTAGCCTCAGCGTTTTCAATTTCCATTTTTTTTCACTGGCCTTATCACCCACAGTGATCTTTGACATAATTTTAGCCTGACTTTAATTGATGACGTTGTCGGTAGAGATGATTCCGAGCTAATAATTTATAAAATATTTCAGTGTTCAAATGTTTCGACAATAAGGTATTCCACGATATTCTGCTATCTCCGGAGGGCATTCGAAACCCACCTTGAGAACCAAAAAAAAAAAAGATTTTAAACCGAAAAACAAAGAAATGTCGTTCTGTGTTTTGTTGTTAGTAACAAGGTCATAAATTGCGTTTTTGAGAATGGATCATATATATTTTGGTTTTATAAAAACGTATTGAGCTGAAGAATCTAATTTCCAAGAGCGCTGTATCGAATAAACAGCTTCGTGGAATTATTTTATGACTATGCAAACACACCTACGTTGGAAAAAGAAAAAGTTTATATCGGATCCCATGCGTTTATCTTCCACTTGGCATATTAATATGTTCTCTTTTCATCGTTTATAACAAAATTTAATAATGCTGAAGACAAATTAATACGTGAAAAGCAATTTTTTAACATTTGAACATGACACAATTTCTAAAGTACGCGAGGATTCCGTGCTATTAGTCACTAAAGGAAGTTAATTATATTTATGAGACCGATGTATCGTCATTATTTTTTTCTTCCGCAATGCATCGATAAGAAGGATCGAATCGCGATTCATCTATTCAACGGTGAATCGTTTCAGCCCTGCTGATTTAGAATTAGAAAACATTAACCATCTGGACGATTTAGGTCTCGTGCTAGAGCATTCCAAAGTTGCAAATTTCGCTGTTTTTGGACAGATAATACACCGGAAGTAAACGTCGGAGGTCAAATATAAAAAAACCAACTGATAGCTAAGGTCAATGACATTTAACTCTGTAAAAGTGAAAGTCTCCGAAGGTGATTCACAGGGCTACGGAGCGAAGTGGAGTAGTTGCTCGCCTGGTAGGGTTTTACAGATTTACAGCAACTACGGAGCTAAGTGGAGTAGTTGCTGTAAATCTGGAAACACTAGTACTACTTCTTTCCAATGATAAGTGACACTAAATATTTAAATCAAAGTTAGGTTCATGCTCATTAGGGCTAATCCCCATTATATACTAGCTCGAGCTACCCCTCACTGTGTCTTATTTTTTCCCCATTTACTACTGATTGAGAATCCCAAAAAACAAAACGAAAAGTAGATGCTTTTTAATGTATTGCATGTCGGCATTTTATCTACAGTCTTCAGTGGCTCAACTGCCATAAGGACTGGTTGACTGCTTGCTGGGAATACATAACAGTATTATTAATGCCTTCTTTAAGATCTCCTTTCACAAACAACCCAATGAAGTTAACAGTTGCCATTTCCACCTAGACCGAAACACCTGTCTCGATTCCAGCCTCTGCTAGCTGTTTGGACAGATGTTATAATTATAGCTGGTATAGAGACAGCTGTTTGGACAGATGTCAGCTGGTATAGAAATAAAATGAAATGAAATGGAGTTTTACGTCCTACTTTTCTGCACTATGAGTGTTTCTCCGAGACCCTTGAGATCGGAGGAATGGGGGCTGTCAGCCAACCGATTTCAGATGACCTGATATAAATTTTCACTTCATAAGACCTTTAACAGACCTGAGCGGAGGGCCGGTGGCTAATGGCCTTCCCCTTAAATACCATACTGTATCCTGTTTCCACGTCAATCTGATCAACTGTGAGTATTTCACGGCAATCTCAGAATAGTATTGTAAGTCTTGGAACGTTTTTGTGTTTGTGCAGAAGCAAAGTCCCAGTTTGTTGTCGAAATGTCACTTCTTTTCCACAGCTACAGCAATATTTCTACATTTGTGGACCTCCTGTAGTGGCAACGTTGTTAATGAATATAAATTGGAACATTTCTGCAAAGCCAATATTTGCAAATTACCAAATGTGCAAAAAGTAGAAAATCGGGGGTGGGTCTATTTTCCCCAGGTTTTAATTTTCGACAATTTGTGGCAGACTTTTAACGGCCGAATTTTTTAACAAAAAAAAAAATTGATTTTAGCTTCCTATTCGATTAATTTGAAATGTTAGGTGCAAAGATGGATTAATAAAGTAAACTAAATGGTACAGTCAAATTATTTGCTTCACTTCCGGTTTAAACGTGAATTATGTAGGTCAACATAATCTGGCTGGCTTTTAGTAAATAAAATTCTACAGCCGATTTTAACATAAAATCCAGACCGGAAGTGATACTTTGGACGCCATATTGACCTTTGATGACCTTTACCTTTATAGGTCGAAGGTCATTGAGCTTGGCTTATCACTTGATACTTTGACATTACGTCCGACATTTACTTCCGGTTTTATAGCTGTCCTAAAACAGCCATATTTGCAACTTTGAACTACTCTAGCATGTGACCTAATTAACTTACAGAGTTAATTTTTTCGGATTCTTCATATGCTCTTCATGATCTTTCCAGCGATATATCACAATTGTTTTTAATTTTGAATTTGAAATAAAGGGGCCGGGTAATATCACCATGCAATATGTTGCATGTGCCTGTAAATAAAAGCAAGATTTCAGATTCTTGAAAAGCATTGGTAGTTTTGCATGAATTGGGTTTAAATCGTCACTTTCCGAACTAATACAGCTCACAAAATGAGTCTCTGTTCATGTTCGGGAAATTGAAACACAGGGTAAAGGAGTTTTCGGATGACATTTCTAGGAGGGAAGTGTGTTTATGATCACGGAAGGATTCTAAATGATTAGTATAGTATATATAGTCTTGAATACACTAGTCACAAAAATAGAAAATAAATTAGAAATTATTTTTTCAAGTTCAAAATTATTTTTTCAAATTCAAAATCATTTTTTCAAATTCAAAATTATTTTTTTAAATCGTCACTTTCCGAACTAATACAGCTCACAAAATGAGTCTCTGTTCATGTTCGGGAAATTGAAACACAGGGTAAAGGAGTTTTCGGATGACATTTCTAGGAGGGAAGTGTGTTTATGATCACGGAAGGATTCTAAATGATTAGTATAGTATATATAGTCTTGAATACACTAGTCACAAAAATAGAAAATAAATTAGAAATTATTTTTTCAGATTCAAAATTATTTTTTCAAATTCAAAATTAAAATCTCTGTCGAGGACTCTGATTGGCTGTATTCGCTGGCGTAAATTCAATCAAATAGCTGCATTCAGTGATACAATAAAAATTGCATGACATACTACAGCTGTGTGTGATATTAAAAAAAAGTTCGTTCTACAACAGTAATTTCACTAAAATTAAATTTACGCATGCTTGTAATTATACGCTTATTTTACAGCTAACATTCAGTGTGTATTTAGGTTAAGAGATGATGGTTTGGAGTATTTTATCAAAGCAAGGTTTAATCACGGGAGTTGTATTTTTCTTATATAAAGCCGGAGAATCTATGCTTGGTGCGACAATTAGACCGTACATCATCCATGCTATTTGCAGAGACAATTTTCTGGAAAATACATCCATCTGTATAGATACATCTTCACAATCTAAACTTCAACAAGAAAACATACAAGAAAGAGCATCAACCTACTTGATTTACTATCGATTACTTGTGAACGTTCTATAGTTCTTGGTCTGGTTTGGGGAGCATGGAGTGATAAGCACAGCCGGAAGTTACAAATGATTGTACCAAGCATAGGTAATGTGTTTGCTGTTCTCTTATATGTGGCAAGTTTAAGACAAAACGAATGGACGATTGCACTTATTCTGTGTGGTTCAGCTGTTCAAGGCATCTTTGGAAAAAGTTCAGTGATAACTATGGCAGTGAATAGTCACCTCTCAGATATAACGGAACAGGAACACCGAACAGGAGAATTAAGTCGACTTTTGGCCATGAACTATTTTGGATTGTTTGTGGGATCTCTTTTATCAGGCACAATCCAAGAGTACATCGATATAAAAACCACATTAACTGTTGTGTGTTTCTTGCATGCATTTTCTGTTCTGATAACTGTTTGCTGCATTCAGAAATCGGAACAGAAAGAACCGGACTCTGGAAAATCAGGTACCCCCACTGGATTTAAGGACTCTTTTGCTGCTACCAAACAGATCACAACGAAGATTTTCATTATCTTGGTGATCATGACAACTTTGAATCAAACATGTGAAGTTGGAGATCAGGATGTTACGGTATTATTTGTTAGAAAGTACCCACTGTCATGGCCGACACCGTGGTACGGATACTTATTATCTGTCGAGTACACCATGGTGGGAGTCACATTGATGGTGTTGACACCACTATTAACTTCTTATTTCAATCTAGCAGATAGTACCATCATCATCCTGGGGACCTACTGTAAATTGATAAGAGCTCTGTGGGCAGGATTTTGTTATGAAACATGGATGGTGTTTACTTCAGTGGTGATAGGGGCGATTGGTGGTATGTTGGTGTCTGCAGTGCGATCTCTGATGAGTAAACATGTCGATGATTCGGATGTTGATAGAGCATTTTCAGTCCTTTCTTGTGCGGAATCTGCATCTAAAGCTTTAGGATCTTTCATATTTATTGTTAGGATCTGTTATTTTTAATTATACTTATGGAGCTACAGTGTCTATCTATCCAGGGTTCGCCTATCTGATGGAAATGGTTCTCTATCTCATTGTGCTGATTTTAGCAATCTGGCTTCATAAAGACGTCATGGTGTCTTGTGCTTGCTATCTTTTGAAAGGTAGTGTAGAAGAAAAAGACCAACTCAGGGACCATAACTAAAACATTTTTTTATCTAATTACTGTGAGAAACGTACTCATCAAAATGCACAAAAATGACAAAATCCAATAAAATGGTGCAGTCTCTCTTGCATGGCAATCCAATTATGTTGTATTTTAAAGTATAAACCGTGCTATTAACAATATGTATACATAAAGGTCGGCGCGCACACTGACCGATTTTTGTTGCTGATAGTCGGCCAGTGTGCGTTAATCAACGACAGTCCCGCGACAAAATCGGTAATGATCGGGACATATCTTGTAGGCCTTATTTGATCGAAAATCTTTCTCGCGTGCCTTGTAGGTTAATATGCGGTTTAAAAAAAGACGGGTGGTCATTTTAAATTTCAAACATTGGACACACATGGATTTGGATACTGTGATCTACAAAAACTTGAATATACGGTGGTTCGTATACGACATCATTTATTTTTTTCAATTTTGAATTAAAAAAACTGGATTATAATTTAACAAAAAAATTGAATTAAAAACTAATATTTTCACCCGGGTAAAAAATATTATTCACCGAGGTGAAAATTCCAGAATTTTGAATTAAAAACTTGAATTTCCACCCGGGTGATAATTCCAGAATTTCTAATTAAAAACTTGTATTTTCACCCAGGTGAAAATTAATACTCACCCAGGTGAAAATTTCAGAATTTTGAATTAAAAACTTGAATTTCCACTCGGGTGATAATTTTAGAATTTTTAATTAAAAACTTGTATTTTCACCTGGCTGGAAATTAAATATTAATCCAAAATGCTAATAAAATGTATCATAGGTGAACAAATGGTCACAATATAGCATTAAATTCATATGTAAGTGTTAGTTTGATCTCTCAAAGGCTCTTAATTCATTGACTATATTTAAGTCCTAATAATGACATCACATGACAAATTAATGCTAAATACCGAAAGTAAAGAGTTTCGCCCAAGAAAACACAACATAATCTTCAATTCATTACCAAGACAGATTCAGCTTTATGGGAAATGATGATTGCCGAATGATAGGAGAGTGGCCTTGTTATGTAATGCTTCGCTTTGGTTTGTTCATATCATATGTTTGTGTTTATAGTCCAGCAAAAATGTTTTTGTTCAGCTGGGTAATAAAGAGTAATTTATAGCATAGTTTATAGTTAGCACAATTTATTTTTAGAGTTATCAAATTAAAACACCGAACGCAATCATTTGATATACGCACATCTTATAATAATAATAATAATAATAATAATAATAACTAGAGCCACTTGTGGCACAGAGTGGGGCTTTTCAAATGTAGCAATTTGCTAAAGACCCCGAAAAAATCAACCATCGACGATAATTAGGTCAAGCGCAAGAACAGTCTAAAGTTGAGAAATGTTCATTTTTTAGAAGATTCTAATACCGGAAGTAGACGTCAGACCTCACAAATAAAAGTATCAGCATATAGCCAAGGTCAATGACCTTTGATCTTGTAAAGGAGAAGGTCTAAAAAGGGCAAGATCAAGAGATATACGCCATTAAATTTTCAAATTGCTAACGACTACAAAACCGGAAGTTGACATAGGACAGCAAATATAAAAGTATAAATAAATAGCCAATGCCAATGACGTTTGATCCTACAAAGGTCTAGGTCAACAAAGGTCAAGGTCAAGAATTGAAAATTTTGAATTTCCAAAACCTGTTCCTTTTTTGAACTATGAAGCGGAAACAACCGAAATTCAAAGACAAATTGGCTCAAAATATGAGGTAATTGTGTGCAAAGTTCCATTTTGAACAAATGTATACTTTGCGAGTTTAGCCCCTGGCCAAAAATGTCAATAGTGAGTAATTTAACCCGGAAGTGCCCACGCCCACCTCAATTTTTTTTTAATTAATATTCAAAATGTTACGTTATGTTCCAAAAGTTCCTACATAACAGAGGTCAAAAGATATAGGTCAACAAAAGTCAACAAAGGTCAAAATCGAAAAATGAAAATATCCATATGTTAAAACCCGTTCCTTTTTTTGAAACTATAAAGCTGAAACAACTGAGCTGTTAACACAAACTGGCCAAAAGGATGAGGTAATTGTGTGCAAAGTCTCTTTTTGAACAATCGCATCCTATGCGAGTTATGCCCCAGCCCCAAAATTTAAACAATTAGTAATTCAACCCGGATGTGCCACGCCCACGTCAAATTTTATCTACTCACTTTATAAATATTGATAATATCATATACATGCGTTATTTTTAAGCCTTTACATCTATTGGTTAATGCGATATACAATCATCAAGGTCAAAAACGGTCAAAATCTAAAATTGAAAATTTTGAAATCCTAAAACCCGTTCCTTTTTTTGAACTACAAAGGTGAAACATCTGAGATTTTTATATAATTCAGCTTAAGTAATGAGGTAAGCGTGTGCAAAAGCATTTTCCAAAAAATTGTAATGTATATATTTTTTTTTCCAGACAACAAAATGTAAACAAAATGAAAATTTAACCCGGATGTGCCACGCCCACGTCAATTTTTTTTGGGTGGATACATTTATATGGGGTATTATGTTCCAAGTTTGAAACCTCTATATCTAATGGTTCGTGAGATATGCTTATATTAATGTAAAAAAATTCACAAAATCAGTTAAAGGTTTCCAAAAATTAAAAAATATAAAAAAATCAAATTTTGCATTAAAATCCATTGTGATATATCGTTCGAAAAAGTTCGTAAAGACCATTCAGAATCTGCAAAAATTAACTCTCTAGGTCAATTAGATCACCTGTACGAGCAGTCCAAAGTTGCGATTTTTTCTGTTTTCGGACAGCTATAAAACCGGAAGTAGGTGTTGGAGGTCAAATATCAAAGTATCATCTGGTAGCCAAGGTCAATGACTTTTGACCTACTTAAGGTCAAGGTCATCAAAGGTCAAGGTCACGAGATATACGCCATCAAATATTGAAAAAATTCAATCGCAAATTGCAAAAAAGCAAAATCGAAATTCAAAAATCGGCTTCCTCTCTTAATTTTTATGTTCTTTCATTTGACAGCAAAACTTTGAAATTCGGTTTAGACAAATTGGCTGAATAAAAATCGAAGAGTTTCAGGGAAATCAAAATGGCGGCCAAAGTAACACCTCCGGTCGGAATTTTATTTTAAAATCGGCCATAGATTTTTATTTTATATCGATCAACGAAATTCCGTTCATTTTGATAAATTTCACCGGAAGTTATTCGACAAATTCGATTTTGGACTTCAAGTGACTCAAACTTCGAAACCGGAAATGACGTAAAAAATCTGACTGTATCATATCATTTACTTAAGTGATGACTATCTGCATTTTAAAGTTTGCGACAAAGTTTAGAATTTCGAAATTTTTCAAGTGCTATCTAGTCGACATTTAGCCACCGGATGTTAAAATTGAAAACCCCGGGAAAATCGACGCATAAATGCGCCTTCTAGAGCCAATTTTCGACTTTTGCACATGTTGAACTGTGGCACTTCCGGTTTTGCAACAATCGTCCAATTTACACTTAAGCACATCGTCGCCTATATAGAAGGTCTATGATAGTTGAAAGGTTGTTGTAACTACCACAGTCTAAGCACAGGAAGGTGTGTAAAAATCGAAAAAAAAAAAAAATTGACATTTCGATAACAAACAATAATGACGATATTTATATTGCTCATCAATTAAATCCTCGTGGAATCTTTTAAGGAGCACCCAGGTGATCTCAATTGGTGAACAAACAACCAAACAAACAACCGAGTTATCACTTTAGATTTAAATGCAGACACAGATTCACATTGTCGAATTGATTTCGGTAATTTATTCCAAATTACTGATGCACTGTATTGAAAAGTTCTGGAGCTAAACATGTTCAGGTTGTATGAAGGAACCTCAAGTAACATTTTGCCTCCAGATCTTAATGAACGTTTAGGCTTGTATAATGACAGTAGATTTTGAAGATAGCATGGGGAAGTTTTGTTGATGGTCTTATATGTGAGCGATAAAATTTTGAAATTGATCTTTTCACGAACACGAAGCCAGTGTAGATCATTTAAAACAGGAGTAATGTGTGATCTTGATTTGGTTTTAGTAACAATTCGGGCGGCCCGATTTTGGATCATCTGTAGCTTAGAAATCTGTTCCTCTGTAATACCAGTAAGTATTGCATTGCAGTAGTCAATTCTGGATAGCACAAATGATCGAGCTAAGCAGGCAGCAGTATCTTTTGTTATGAGATGACAAATTGACCCGATCCTTCGCAGATGGAAGTGGCAAATCTTACAAATGTTATTGATGTTGAAACTGAGACCTGAATCAATCAGTACACCTAGGTTTTTTACAACTGTCGATACAGGCATATCTAAAAAAAATTCGAAACACCTGGTATAGGGTGCAGGGCTAGTTGTAACAGGGTAAGTTGTTACAAGCCTCATAATTCCTAACACACAAACTCTACAGTTCTATAGAGTTTTTCTTCATAGATGATGGTGTAGCTGTAAACATATCTGAAGAATGTGTATAGAACTCGACTGTAAAAGACGCCAAACATGCTTATCAAGCATTAAAGTAGAAATTTAGATATTATAATAAATATTTCCATAGCATATTTAATCTATGACAAGAGAACGGAGGCATTTTTGGTAGTATCTTTTAATGTCACCTCTTTGATTAAATGGTTATCTGACACTGTTTCACTATTCATAAATAATGAGCGGGAGATTTGAAATGAGTAGTTGGTTTGTAAGTTGTAACTGTGTTAAGGTATACCTAGAAGTATAAATATATCGCAAAATAGCTGGAAAGTGGATACACTGTGTTCAATTTAAACACTGGTTAATCGGACTAGTGAATCCATACATTTGC